GGCGCATTTATAGCCTTTCTTTGTGTATGTGTCCCAGTAGACCATATTGGGCTTCCGTAGACGACAACATTCCCGTTTGGCTGGAGCACGAGTGCGTATTTTCCATTCTCATGACTTGTCTCGGTTCTCCAAACTGGGGCGCCTACATCAGAAAAGATGTGTAGCTCACCATTGCTCTGCAAAACCAGGCTACAGTTGCTACCCATTTCTGGGGTATTTGATTCCCAGATAGCGTCATCATGTTCATATAGCACAAGATTGCAATCCTTTTGCATGATAAATGTGTAGTTACCAATTGATAAGCTTTTGTCGGTGCTAAGTTCTTCACCGCTTCTTAGAACATTGCCTGGGCTTGCGGGGTAGCCAAACCTTGTGGAGGAGCATGATGCGATGAGGAGGAGGAGGATAGAAGAGGAAAGAAGAGTACTGGCTGAGACAATGTTGATAGCCATTATGAGATTGAATGTAGAATGTTGGTGTAAATGGTTAGTATGATGATAGTTGCCTTCTTTTCCTTTGTTTTTATAATGTGGAAGAGCCGGACGGCATGCTCGAGCAAAATTTAAAGATAAAACAAGTTGGCTAAGTTTTTGGACTTGATCAAGCCAGCTGAAACAGAAAAGACTCGTTCATGAAGGTAGCAAATATTATTTATTATTATCATGAATAAAATAGGCTAGAAATGTGTTAAGACTTGATCTAGTCATTGGAAAAGATCCATTCATGGATCCCAAATCTTTTCTCTGTTCATGACATTGGTAAGACAAATCTTTACATAATTTTCGAATTATATATATATATATATATATATATATATGTCAGTTCCGGGTTCGATCCGAACCCGATCCGCTGACCCGAATTGACACCCCTTAAATGTACCAATTAGCAAATCATTAAAATATTGAATTATGCTCAGCCATTTTTTGAATAAATTTTCTAATTTATGATGCATTATTAAAATGGTGCTTTATAAAGAGAAAATTATTCCTTTTTTTTTTTTTTGTAAACTTATTTTATACTCAAAAAATTTTAAGAGCAGATCAATTATTTGCTATTTTAAAATTGATATATTTTGTTAATTATCCAATATGAGACTATATCTGAAATCTCAGCAACTGTTATAAATACTCCCATAGAAAAAAATAATCATTTAAAATTTATATGCAGAAAATCTAATCTATAATTACTTTAATTATAACTAAAAAATTATATCACTGACATAAAATAATGATAAAGTTAGGAAATTTTTTTTTTCAGGTGGAGATGTTGATTAACTTTTTTATTAGCTATACTTCTATTAATTATCATTATAATTAAAATTTTAATAATAATATCATAATTAACTTTATTTTCATACAAATCAGAGTTAGAAAGAGAACAAGAATAATAGGATAAAAAATGTTTAGTCATATTTTTATTTTAATAAAAAAATAAACAGTAACAATGTAAGAAAATCAAATACTCTTCCAAAAATTCCTCCCTCATAACAAAGTTAGAATTTTGCAATTTCTAATTTTAGTTGGACGTAATTAGAAATCAATTAATATGAATTTTAAACTTTCGAAACTTCTTCAAAATTCTTTAAAATAATAATAATGTAATGTTAAGAGTTAAGACAATTGAGTGTCTTTAATTTGACTAATTAAGCAAACGCAGAGCATCTAAGATGGCTAATTACAAAAAAGAGTTTCGGACTGAGGGCTATGGATACCTTTACGGCATTTAGTAGCAGTTCAATAGTTCTACAAGGTTTTTTTTTTCAAAAAAAAAAAAAAAACAACCATTTATTAAAATAAAAGAAGATTACTATCCGTGGCCCCCAACCATTGCAACAACATAGAAAAAGACTCGAAACAAATAGCAAGATTCGAGGCAATACAATGAGAGTAAAAGTAAAATAAAACAAAATTGGACTCAGAATGGAAATCTCTTGCACCAGCCACGGACCATCCATAGGTGAGAAATCCACAAAATCCGAATCACCAAGCTATCCAAGCAAAAGACCAAGGCTTCGTTTGGGACGGCTTTTTTATTGTTTTATAAGACGGAGTTTTAGTACAATTTTTTTTATTTTTGTACTAAAACTCTGTTTTAAAAAGCAATAAAAAAGCCGTCCCAAACAAAGCCCAAATCACCTCGATTGCCAACCAGACGAGCCAACAAGGGGAAGCTGGGGGCTTCCTCATCATTGTCCAGAAAGCTGTCAAAAACCACCGCCGAAGAGAAAATAGTAAAGAGGCAAAGCCTATTTCTTTTTACCTTTATTTGTACACCTATTACCACCATTAGAACGACTAGGATCAGTAAGCTTAACAGGCTCAACCTCCTCACATTCACCAAAATAATCCTCCTCTCCATCAAAAGAAGATGAATCGTCACTCAGAATTAGCAAATCATTTTCCGCCAAAATAGAATTTTTGACAGATATAGCCACCTGAGACTTCAATTCACTATTAGACATAACAGTAATCGGAACATTAATAAAAGTTGATGAACTTCTAGAAGTACCATTGGTCACAGGCGAGACCACCTTAGTGTGAACCAAAGAATAGATAGGGGAAGACACACCAAAATCAACCAACACCGGGACAACAGGCACCCCAGAATTAACGTCCACATACAAATATATCAGTTCATGCACAACATCCACACAAGAAAAGCTAGCCTTTAAATTAGTATCACAATTCATAACTCCAAACTCGCCAAACAGAGGAGCAGAATGAGAAGGGCCCAAAGGAGAAGCCAATTCCCTCAAAGTCGCCTCACTCCCCACCACAAGGCCAGCATTCTTGATTGGGACAAACGGGGAGGGGACGAAATTACCAACAGTCAGGCCATTAGAGGCCATAGCCAATGGACAAGCATCACAACCAGCATCCAAAGTTTCAACAGACTCCACATTCGCTATGTTATCAACTAAATCAGCATTCACCTAAGCATTAACTCCAACCTCCGGCATAGAAAAAATAGGACCCGCATTAACCAAATTCACCCCAGGCAGTGCACACAGAGCAGAAGTAGAGCAAGGAGTGAGTTTAGTACATTATTAAGATGAGGATGTAAAACATGATAATTCTCTTTCAAATGGCCTAAGGAACTATAATGCATACAAAAGTGAGAAATATCATCAAAAATCACTAATTGAATATAGCCAGAATTAGGCGAACCCACCCAAATTTAATTTTATTAAGAAATTTTTTGGTGACATGGAACGAGGATGCGAACAACCGAAGGACGGGAACCCGAAGCAGTGGCGGTGTCCGATTTCAGAGTTCGGCCGAACAGAGAACCCAACCCAAAGAGGATCCGAGGTGAGAAGAGATGAGGCCTAAGATAGGGAAACAAAACCCATATGGGGACAATCAGGGAATCAACCTCAACATCCAAATTTGGGAACCATTTAACCACTTTCATATAACAGTTATTCACAAAATAAGACCGGTGAGAGAAGATTCTACAGTAATCAAAATCATTGACAAGTTTAATCAAAACATTTCTAGGGTTAAGAACAGTGACAAAACAATCACTAATGATTTTTAAGTTGAAGAAAAACTTCTGAATGGCATCAATGGATGGTCGTTTGCTGGGAAACCTACCGACCAAAGCAAATTCAACGGAGTCACAAGCGAGGAAATTTCCGCCTCCAAAATCAACAACGCCAGTAAATCCCAGTGAGAAGAAATTCGCAAATCAAGAAAAGGTACCGAAAAAAAAAAACTCCATACAAGGCCTCTTTAAACGAAAGAGCCAGAGAAGCTAGCTCCATTAAAAAATCCCAGGTCACGAAGTCGGGTAGATGCCATTAAAGCCGAAAAGGAAAAATGAAACACGCAAAAAATCGGGAGACTAGAGAAGAGAGATTTCCCTGAGATAAATCCGACAGTGGAGATCACCCACACAGCGATCGCCAAAAAATGGGTAAAACCCTAGCAGAGCAAACATTTTTTTTTTGCAATAATTTTATAAGGTTGAACATTAATTTGGCATCATTTAGGATAAGGAATTCATTAATTGAATTGGTGGTGGGGATTAAGGTTTCATTTGGGCCGACTTTCTTTCTGCTTCTTAAAACTGCTTTCAACTAGAAAAGAATTAATTTTTATACTAAAAAACTGCTTAAAGAAACATTAATAATGTATCTCCAAACCAACCTAAAATACTTCGTCGGCTATCTTTCTGCTTTTTAAAAGCAGGTTTTTAATAAAAAAAAAATTGGAAGAAGCAAAAACAAAAGATGATAAAAAACTGTTCCAATCAAAATCTAATATTTCATTTGGGATGACTTTTTTATTATTTTCTAAAATAAATTTTTATTATAAATTTTTTTAAAAAGAACGAAAAAATAATTACCAAAAGCTAGCACAAAAAAAAATATTTTGCGTACATTCTGCATAAATAACTCAATTCATTCAAAACGAAGGCTAATTACTTCAATAGTACAGAGAAATTATTTTGTTCGAGACTGGACATAGAACATCGTTTGGCGACCAACCAGAATGCGCAATGTCATCGGTGCCGAGCAAATCGAGCCGTGATACAGAGCACAGGGGTGACATGGAGCATTCTTATCTATCTCTGGATGACGTTCGGCGTCCGCACATAATAATTAATCCTTCCAGATTAGGCTTGAAGAAATTGGAGCAAGTGGAGAAAGAAAGTGAAAAAGGAAGGAAGAGCGAAAGATGAGGCAGCATCCCTCCTCAAATTTCGATGTTTTTGATGCCCTTCAATCGGTCCCAATTCAACTTTTGAAATTTTCTAATTTGTTTCTTCTTTACTTTTACTAATTATTCAATACCTTAACGATATTTTGAAGCCATTGAATACGTAGCAGTAGCTTGGGGAAAAAAACAAAAAAGCAAACAAAGAGATGAATGGTTCTTCGAATTTTTGAGCAAGCCAACCCTCTCTCGCTATAAACGGAACTAAAAAGAAAGCAACTAAGAAAGATCATAGCTTGCTAGTAAACCTTCCATCCTTCAAAAAGTGATTTTCTCATCATGGCTATCAACTTTGTCTCGGCCAGTACTCTTCTTTCTTCTTCCATCCTCCTCCTCCTCATCTCCTCCGCCTCCTCCATCAGCTCCGGCAATGTTCTAAAACCTGAAGATAGACTTCGCGCTGGGGAACACTTATCAATCGGCAACTACAAATTTGCAATGCAAAGAGATTGCAATCTTGTGTTATATGAAAATGAAACCGTTCTTTGGGCATCAAAAACGCAAGGAGTAGGCACGAATTGTAACCTGTATTTTCGTGGCAATGGTGAGCTTCTCATCATCTCTGGCTTAGGAAGCCCAGTGTGGAGAAGCGAGACAGGGGGGGCATATGGAAACTACGAACTTGTTCTTCAACCAAATGGTAATGTTGTGATCTACGCAAGTACAGTATGGTCTACAGGCACTTCTTCTCCAGTTAGATCTATCCATGCGCCACCTTCAAAGAGCCTCATCAACAATCCCTAGGAGAAGAATAATTTATTTAAATAAGCGCCATACAGCGGCTTTCTTTAATCGTGTTTGATAAATGTTTGGGCTAATTTTATGTTTGTTGAGAGAAAATTTATGTCCTAAATGAGTAATAATGATCATGTTATTTTATTTATGTAATTAACCTTTTAATATGTATGTTCTTGTACGTGTGTGATATTATATTTTGAAACAATAGTATAGTTTTAAATTGGAACCTATCAAAATAATAGATGAAATTAAGTAGCTTCATTTGTATGGGAGAATAAGAAATAGAAACTGTGCTAATTATAATATAGAAAAATTATATTTAATGATTTGATTTTATTTGTTTTAAATTTTATAAGATAAATAATAATAATTAAATCTAGCTAGAGCTAATTCAATCGTCCACATCTCAAGTTATGCTCGTAGTCATTTCATTTATCTCAAGAGTTGATTCACGTGCGTTTAATGATTATAGGTTCTCACACTATAAAAAAGAGGGCTATCTTAGCACAATTTTTTACTTATCCCAACGATTATAACCGCCTCATTTTACTTTGCATCAGTTCTAAAACTGTTGCATCCCCGTTGTAATTGTAATACGCTGCAACGGCATTACGCAGTTGTTTTAGGACTGGTAGCAGCGGTTATAACTAATGCGAAGTTACGAATTTGCATCGGTTATAACCACCACAAAAAAATGAAAACTTAAACTGATTTCCAATATTGTGGCGGTTTTAACCACCACAATTCTAAGTGTTTGTGACGGTTAAAACCATAGCAATTGCCCATAATTAAAAATAAAAATAAAACCTGAATGTCCACGGCAATCTCTTGATGACAACATAAGAAATTCACGTCAGAAACTCCATACCAGAATACTTGTTGAAGTACCACCAACAAACCACCTACTCATATCCATTTACAAAACTTTCTATGATCCATCTACAATACAGGAATATATACTTTCATGGGCGGATTCCCACATATGTGAGGGTGGGCATCCTAAAAAAAAATTAATGTATAAAAAGGATAATTTTAAAATTCCGCCGCCCTCTAAAATAAAATTTTGCCCTATTATGACCAATTTTGCATTGTTTGCTAATCCATATGAAGTTCATAACATTTCCTTTTTTGAATAAATAATAAAAATTTCCTCTTATAAATTTGACAACATTGTGTTGGTTATTTTTTTTTAATTTTATTTTATTAGTATTAGTATTTATTATTATTATTATTATTATTATTATTATTATTATTATTATTATTATTTTATTTTACTATTTTTATTTTATTTTATTATTATTATTATCGTCATCTAATTAATTAAAATTTTGCACACGGAAAAAAGAAATTGAATCCGCCCTGTATACTTTCTATCACAAATATGTGCATTAACTTCATAGATATTATACACGAAATGCCATAAATCAATATAACAAATACTAGAGCTCATTAGCAAAACAAATTTAAGTTTCTAGAAGACTGCCAGGCATCAAATAAATTGTCATTGTCATCCTGAAAATAGTATAAAGATAATGAGATATTAATAATCAAGCAATTTACATACTTAGTGCTGTTTGAATTTAAAAGCCATTATTGCTATAGTTTCATAAGAAAAAAATAGTAATCATGAATGCTTCAAACTTCATACTCATTATAGTTTAATTTAACATACATTCTGCAGGTCAGTCAATTTAGTGATTGTCATTCAATGTATAATTAAGGTACATGAAAACCAACCTAATCACATGCAAATTAAAAATTTTAATTAAGCCCGAATCTCAACGAGTCAAAGTTTGGTCATTGATATCTTTTTTTTTCCTTGTTACATACTGAAATAAAAGCTGAACAGATCCTTGGTTCTACTTGGTTCGACTTCTCAACATTTTTTTCTACATGTCATAATAGATCTTAATCCAGCTTTAATGATCCTGATACACCAACTAAAGCAGATCTTTGTCCAGCTTTAACGATCATCTTTCATGCTATTTTTAATTTTTTTTCAATCTAATGTACAAGCATTCTAAAATAAAACAGTAGGTTAGGGCACAAATCGGGTAGGGAAATATGGAAGAGCTGGACACGAGCGGACAACTGGACCTCAATCATTTACGCGGACGACTCACTCTCCAATCAAAGGCCATGCATGAACGGAAGAAGGAAAGAGGGAGATTGATCGAGCTGTGTGCAGAGAATGAGTTGGGATCGAAAGAGAAAGGAGATATCATGATTCGCTAGAGTCCAACTGGCATGAGTAGGGTTTTGACTATAGCATCGGTTAAAATCGGTGGTTTTTGCAGCGGTTTAAACCATTGCTAATGCCTAGCTAGTTTTGACAGCAATTTCAAAACTGCTAATTACAAGTGCTGTGAAAAGCCACATTTTCAATAGTGCCAAGATCTATTTGAAATGAAGTTCTTTTTATCATCTAAGTTCATAAGACAGAGTGACATCAATATATGAAAATAAATAGAAGTTATCATCCTATACACACACACACATCTCATAACTGTTTACATCCAAAATATTCATATACAATAATCATGGCTTTCCAATAATTTCAACAAATTTATTTATCCAAGATTATAAAGTAATCACTCTATAATTGAAAAGAGTACCTCTAACAACAAATCATGATCTCACTCCACTAGAGTTTTACCCTTCTCTAAAAAAATATAAATAATAAAGAATGAGCAAATGGTCTTACAGGTTACACAAAACTTACAACTGTATGTAATGCAAGGGAACAAAACAATATGCATGCATCAATCAACTGATCATAAAAGTTAAATATTTGCTGAATAGTAAATTTCTAGGCCACTGATGTATAAGTATGATATGCAATGTAATTATGATCACAATTATCATTGTATATGTCACTGAATCAAGTCAGAAGATTATTGCAATTGCATTTATCATATAAAGCAGTATGTCATATACATATATATTAAGGCAATAATCCTATCTATTCATATCATATCATATGGTGTTTTTCTACGTCAAACATAGTACATTATCATATCATGTTATGTAAATAAAAATAGTCATATGAAATATTAAATGGGAGTCATCACCCCAAATCCACCATCACTGATAATTATTCTCAATTTATCTCAAATACTCAAATTAGGAAATTTTCTCCAAAATATAAAAAAATACTATTGAAAATTCAAAATATTCATGTTAATATGTGCAGAATGCTTAAAACATACTAAATTTTATACGATAAATATTTATTAAAATTTGAGATATCGTAACTTTTGATCAAATTAAAAATAAAAAAATACAAAATAAACAAAATTACTGAAAGCACAGGCCGGGTAACCATAGTCTATCTTAATATATACAGAATAATTAAAAATAAATAAATAATCATAATTTAAAAAAAAAAAAAACAACGAGAGGAATGATTCTTTTTTGCTATTTACAAGATGAAGTAAAAAAACATTTCCAGTCTGTTTGACGTTCAAAATAAAAATTATAATAATGTATCATCAATGAGTCTTGCCTGATGACAGGATCCAACCAAAAATGTTCCCAATTAATCTTTGTCTCCTCTGCAAATGTTTTTCAAGATTGCCGGCCCTTTCTCATTTTAAATAGGAAGAGAAAGGAAGCAAGTAACTTCACAGCAAGCTAAAAACCCTTACTAATCTCTCATCATGGCTATCAACCTTGCCTCACCAAGAACTTCAGCAATTTCTCTTCTTTGCTCTTCCATCCTTCTTCTCCTCATCTCATCAGGCTCCTCCACGAGCCTCGGCAATGTTCTAAAAAATGGTTATGAACTTGGTGCTGGAGGCTTATTATCAATCGGCAACTACAAATTTATAATGCAAAGAGATTGCAATCTAGTGTTATATGAAAATAATACCGTTCTTTGGGAGACAAAGACCCAAGGAAAGGGAACCTTATGTAGGCTGTCTTTGCAAAGCAATGGCGAGCTCTTCGTCTTCTCAGAATCAAGAAAAGCTTTGTGGAGAAGCGAGACAGGAGGGGAATTCGGCAATTATGCACTTGTGCTCCAGCCAAATGGTAATGTTGTGGTTTATGGAAGCCCAGTGTGGTCTACTGGGACATATATTCAAAGTACTGCCAGTAATGCGCCACCTAGATACTTTGTCTCCCCAAATCCTTAGAAAGGCATGAGAAGGATTTCAAGTTATTTACTTTTATTGCCTTCTTATGAAGTCTTTGATTTCTGTTGAGAATTTGTGGTAAGTCTTATGTTTGTTGACAAATAATCGATGTCTTTGAGAACTTTTGATGTTTGTGTTATTTGGTTGTAATAAGATTTTGAATCTATTTTCTTAATTGATGAGAAATGTTTGCCAATCTGATGGGATAAATTTGAGTTACTTATAATCATTATTTGATTGAATTTTAGAATCAAGTTAGTATTTTTTTTACTGATTTTGATTGGAAGAACAATTTTAATCATATTTTTGTCTATATATTAATGATCTTGTGACAAATAAAATTTTTCATTTTTTTAGAAAATATAGCCAAATTAAGAATATTTTTAGCCACCTAATCATTAGCAAGCTCTAGAAAAAATTCAATTAAAGATAAAATTAAATAAATAAAAGAATTTTGCTCATATCTTAAAAAAATGCTAATAAAAATGTTTTATAATTAGACTTTGATTGGGATAGCTTTCATATTGCTTTTTAAAAGAGCTTTTAAGTATAACAATTTCTTGAACTAGAAATTTTTTTAGTAGAAAAGTGTTTTAGAAAACAAGTAAGAAAGATATCCCAAACGAAACCTCAATCAGTTTTAACATGCAAATCTCGTTAATTTCATTCGATTGTGAACTTATGTTTCAGAGGAAAAAAATAATTTTATTTTGAACATATAAAAAAATTAACCTAAATTATACGGGATGATAAAAATAGAAATTATGTGATAATAAAAAATTAGAAACAATATTTTTAAATTTCTTAAAATTTATTTTATTGTAAGGCTATTAACTATTCAATTTCAGTTTTATTGAATTACAACTTAGAAAATTGACCAAAAATCATTATCTACTATTAAATTGAGCCAAAAATGTTCATAAGCTTGCTCGATCCAATCTTTATTGGGAATGAAATGACTAATTAACTTTTATTTGAACTAAGAGTCTGTTTGGGACGGTTGCAGGTGCCAGTAAAGCAGGTTGTAAAGTTATTATAAAGAAAGCTCTTTTTTCAAGTTGTTGTAATGAAAGTAGTATATTTTATTTGGGAAATATAGATATCAATATAAATACAAGCAGAAATAAAACTATCGATATATATATTCATTTCTCAAAAATCATGTACACTACTTAAGATCTATATAATCATAACATATTCATCATGTCATAAGTATAAAAGAATAGCTAAAATAACAAAAATTAGAATATGAAGGATCTTGATCAATCTCGCACTGCTCCTTGAAATGAAATCATGTAACCATATATACTGATCTAAAAGCCCAGAAAGTCACAAAAACCTACAAGAGAACTCAAAATATGGTAAAAGTATAATATGTATGTTAGCATTCAAATCATAACAGTAACATTCATATGATCATTGAATCAATGCATAAATAATAAAACTCGCATGCACTAGCAATATAATATGAAAACAGTAAAACAGTACAGTATATAATCAAATAAAATAGTACCGTAAGGAAATCAATAAATTAGTACGAGTGTCAAATAAATCAATAAAACAGTCATCATATCAATACTATTAATCAGTAAATCAATCATATAAAGTGGTAAAAATAAATCATTAGTAAGGAAAAGTACATGAAACCGTGATATCAAGTTTATTTTGCTTTGAAGAAAAAGAGCAAGAAATAGATAACAAATATAAATATATATGTGAGGAAATTATGTTAGTTCTGTCATTTAATGAATTTATCCAAGCTACAAATGTCCCCTTCAATATGAAACAAATATAGAACAGCTGACATATGATATATTCAAAACTTTAACTAAATGATCACAAATATTAAATATCATTAACATTGACTTTAGATTATATTAATAAAAAAATTTCTTCAAAGAATAAAATTTGACTGTGCATACTAAATCAAACTAATAGATTGAATGGGCCAAATTTCTTCTAAAAATCCTCCATTTGATGCAAAACTATTTGAAGAAAGAATTGTTCTTCAATCCTCGTTACTCATATCCAAAATATAATTATTCATTTATTGAAGAATAAATAATTTAGTCAACTTAACAATGAGCCAACAAGTGATTCCCTTTACCGTATTAAGGCTTCGTTTGGGACTGCTTTTTTACAGCTTCTTAAAACAATTTTCAAAAAATAAAAATTGTTTGGAACTGCTTTTTTGCAGCTTTTTAAACTTTCTAGTACAAAAATCGTTTGAGATTGCTTTTTTACTACTTCTTAAAAATGCTTTCTAGTATAAAAATTAAATTTTGGTACTAAAAAGTTGCTTTAAGAAGCAGTAAAAAAGCCATCCCAAATGAAGCCTAAATATAAAACAAGTCCTTGTTTTTCATTGAATATTGTACAAGAATTAATATTGGGATAAAAACAAGAAGCCTATGTGAAAATATTGTTTTGACGAAGTTATGAATTTGAGACGTAGCTTATTTTGAACTATTGGTTGGAATTTTGACTATCAACTAAGAGCTATTTGGTTGGGAGTTTTACCTTTGATTGGCTCAAAAGTCCCTTCTTTTTTTTTTTTTTTGGTTAATTTGGGTCATATATGTGAATTATTACTCTTAAGTTTTGTTTGAGACGATTATTATTTTATGTGAAATGTTTGTAAAGATTTTATGGGAGCAGTAACTTCATTAAAATTTATTTGAAAAGATATGATAAAAACTTTCTATAATTATCATATAATAATAGATTTGATTATTGTAGGGAATAGCTTCGTATTGTAGAAATTTTCTTAAAAATCAAATTAAAATGTGACTGCCATGCGAATAAAGCTGCCGGAAATAGACCCTTTTAAAAAAAAGGGGGAAAAAAGAAAGCTTACATTTGGCATCCAGGGATAGTCCGAAAATTCAAATTTTGATTCCCTTGTTTGAGAAAAAAATTATAGAAATATTTAATATATTTATGTATGAGAAGATAAGATATACATAATTAATAAATAAATAAAGATATATACAATATTTAAATAAAATAAGGACAAGATTTTGGTTTCTATCAAAATAATGAAGCATACTAGTTTAATTTTTTTATTTATTTACTATTCATTTCTATTGTTTGCTATAATATTCATGGCCGTAAAGTGAGAAATTTTTTCATCTTAGTGATGCACGTATATCCAGCACACAAACATAGAGAGAGAAGTAAAACATCCGATCTTTGTACGTGGAGAGCCCAAAAATGGAAAAATAATGGGGTCTCGCCCGTGTGAAAAGATTCCACTAAACTTGAGTAAATTATAAAAATTGACCCGCCCCTTGACTTAGAGGTGGTAAAATTACCGATGTTTGGACAATTAGGCAAATGTTTGGCGACGGTCAGACGAAAGTTCGACGGTGTTTGGGTAGAAGTTTAGTTGATAAGGAATGATCTGGCAAAGATCGGGCAAAAAGTCCAGCGATGCTCAACTGCCACGTGGAAGTTCGGAGGCGGTCAGAAGTCCGACGGTGATCTAACGAAGGTCGAGCTAAAGTCCTGCGGCGGTCAATAGTCGGGTAAAGTTTTGGCGGCAGTCGATGGCTTGGTGGGTAGTCCGATGAAGGTCGGGCTGAAGTATGGCGGCGGTCGGCAGCCGGGCGGAGGTCCGACGATGGTCGGGCTGAAGTTTGTCAGCAATCGATGGCCAGGTTAAAGTTTGGCAACCGTCGGAGGCCAGACAGTGGTCCGACGATGATCAAACTGAAGTCTAGCGGCAGTCTGTGGCTAAGCGATGGTCTGACGACGGTCGGGCTGAAGTCTAGTGGGATTCGGCGGCGGATGGCAGCCGGTCGGAAATTTGATGGCCGGGTGGAAACTTGGCGGTGGTCCGACGATGGCTGTGCTGAAGTCTGGCAACGGTCGGCTGCTAGGTGGCACACCCCGTAAATATAGAGAAGATCCGGGGCAGGTTCGGATTGCTCCATCGGATGGCTCGTATTGAGAACTCCCCCGATTATAGAGAGTTTTTCAATTATTTAGTTGCGTCAACGATGTAGGAATTCAGCGATCTTGGGTCCGTTATATTATTCTCGCCGAGCCACTAGATTTGACTATAAGCATGTTATATTTGGATATCATTTTGTCATATAAATAATGCTTTGAACCTTCCAAATGTGGCTCGGGCCTCCAATTTGGGCTTGAGTTAGACCGATTTTAATGTTGTTGGGTTCACCCCGTTGAGTCGTTCAGTTCCGAGTTCATATAGTCCTGAATTCGATTAAAGAAATTTCACGATGAAAGCAATTTTTGGTGAGGTATCGATTTCAATACAAAATTTATCATTATATTATAAAATACTGACCGTTAGACTCAAATTATGATAATAAAAAATAAAAAACCAAGTCAAACCTCCCCTTGCCATGCAAATGTCTCACCAATTCAAATGTTGCCAAGCATTTGACCCACTCAAATCTGAAGATCATTAAGGTGCGAATAACGCCCAGCCACATATTCTTCCTGGCATATGACCCTAACCATCTGCCTGCTCTCAGTATAAGTAGGGCCAATCAGAAGCACTAATCATCACCTCTGCCGCCCATCTATTATGGCAACCAGCATTCGCTCAGCAGCAGCACCCTCAATTCTTCTCTGCATCGCCGTCCAAATCCTCCTCTTTGCTTCAAATTCCTCAGCCACCGGAAATATGCTCATGCCCGGAGAGACTCTCCTCGCCGGGAACTGCCTCTCAATCGGCAACTACCACTTGACCATGCAACACAATTGTAACCTGGAGTTGTACCATGGCAAGAAACTTACCTGGGAGTCGCACACCACCGGCATGGGAACGAAATGTTTCTTATACCTGCAAGTCAATGGCGAGCTCGCCATAGTATCCGAAGGGACCTCCTCCCCCTTCGTATGGATGACTGGAACGGGAGGAGGCTCGCATAGGTTCGTCCTTGTGCTTCAGCCTGATGGCAACGCGGTGGTGTATGGCACTCCAGTTTGGTCTACTGGCACGACGCGTGCTGTTCATGGCAATGCGGCATCGAATAGGACCGCGAAATCTATTCCTTTTGAGAGTACTGGAAACTAATAACTTGCGCGTTTGATACTGAAAAGAAGTTTGAATCTCTATTGCATCACAACCAATTTTCTAATTGAGTAAGATGTTTGTAATGGAGGTGCTGATAGGATTTCAATTATAATGTTTGTATCACTGGGTTTAAATTTGTGATTTTCACAACAACAACAACATCAAGCCTTTTATCCCACTAAGTGGGATGGGCTATATGAATCTTTTTTCTTTGTTGTTTCATATTAAGTGCAAAATTATCATTTAAATCTAAATGGTCATTTATAATATTTTCTAACCAAGTCTTTTTAAATTTACCTCAACATTTCTTAACGTAGGCTAAATCTAATACATCTACTCTCATAACCAGGTAATCGGAATGTCGCCGTTTTATGTGACCAAACAATCTTATTCGATTTTAGATCTACTCAAACGAAAACCTTTAGACTTTGAGATTAACCTCCATAATTCAAGTTTACATTCAACTCCCTCTCTAGTCTAGTCAACAAGAACAATATCATTAGCAAAAAGCATATACTAAGATACATCCTCTTGCAAATGTCTAGTAAGAGCATCCAAGACTAAGTAAAAAGATACATGCTTAAGGCTGATAATTGATATAATCCATTTAAATAGGAAAATACTTGGTCAAACTATCTTGTGTTTGAACACAAATAACAGCTCCTGCACACATATCCTTAATGAATTGAATATAAGTGGACAACAACATTCAATAAGGACTATTTTGTTCAACGCTGTGACGTACGCTAGATGAGACTTAAATTTTTTTTCTTTTTTGTATTTTTCCGACACAACATATCTAAAATAACTCATTTTCAGTGAAAACATAACACATAAAATAATGCATTGTTTACACTTATCACATGCGTACCTGCCTATCCTCGAGCTCCTCAAATAAATTGGAGGCCTTTTGGACAAAATAAAATAAAGCATTATATACACAACCAAATGAAACAGGGTCTTAAGCTAGGGTTCCTATAAAAATTTATTGAAGTGTTCTTCATGAATCAAATATGTATAAGATCAAATGTAATATTACCTAATGAATTTGTAAAATAAAATAATAATTAGAAAGATACTTAGACACTCTTAACACTCACAATTAACAAAGGTTCAAAATCATTTATATTACCAAGTGGCTATTCTATGAAAAATTTCTTAGCAATCCTATTCAACTCAAAAACTAAAAAACTCTCTTATGGTCCCTTCCCGGTTAAAAAATGAGAACTCATATATATTATTTGCAATAGTAATGAGCCTTCTTGGAATTTTATATATTAAGAGAGAAAAATAAATTTGACAATAAAAATATGATAAATTTCTCTTACATAATGGATGTGTCAGTTGATTAGTTAAAATTTCTCTTCCCATTCTTAATATTTATTGATATGTATGATAGAGGTGGCTCGCTTTCCCAGATGATCTTAGCACATATGTTTATCAATCATCTAAGCAGAGCCACTTCGTTTGAGGTGAATTTTAGCTCATGACCCTTAATGATAAAACATTAATGAGAAAAATCCTAAAACGAGAGTAGATCATATATCAAGGGAACATTTTACTTGAATGGTAGAAACTTTAGAAATTGATATATGTTTAATCTCTTTAAGTTGTCCTTGACATTCTTGTCTAACATCTTAATGAACTCATTGCAGATAGTTCTAAACGATAATGGTCTACATTGATTAGTAATGTTTGAATTATACATCTAGAAGCATCACATAAAAATCATAATAAAAAACCTTAATTAAAATTAAATGCAAAGTTGATACACTGTCGATACACCGTCAATACAAAGTCAATATATAATTAATACACATTTAACACATAATTAATACATAATTAACAATTAGTTTTAAAAAGATTCATAAAATGAACAAAAATAACTCATAGACAATTGAAACCCTAAACATAATTTAGAAAATGAAATACAAAGATGATGCACAATTGATATACAATCAATACACAATTACTATACAGTAAATACGTAGTTAATACACAATTAATAGATAGTCAATCCCATGCCAAACACAATTAATAAAAATGAACAAAAATAACTCATAGACAATTGAAATATGTGAAAAAGAATTTAGAAAATGTAATGCAAAGTCGATACAAAGTCTATACGCAGTTAATACATAGTTAGTATATAGTTAATACACAATTAATACAAAATCAATATACAGTTAATACAAAATAAACAAAAATAATTTAATCGACATTTGAACTCTGTGTAATATAATTTAGAAAATAAAACATAAAGACTATACATAGTCGATACCCAGTTAATCACAGTCGAAACGCAGTTAATACACAATTAATACATAATCATTACTCAATTAATAGATAGTCAATATTAAGTCCATACATAGTTTATAAAAATGAACATAAATGACTCACAGACATTTGAAATATGTGAAAAATAATTTTGAAAATGGAATGCAAAGTGGATACACAGTCGAGTCGACACGCAATTAATACATAGTTAGTGCACAGTTAATACACAGTCAACAAGAAGTCAATAAACAGTTAATATAAAATGAATGAAAATAATTCATTGACATTTGAAATCGGTGTAATATAATTTAGAAAAGGAAATACAAAGACGATACACAGTTAATATGCATTCAATGCACAGTTAATATGCTCTCAATAAGAACATAATCCTATTAGGTTTCCTCAAACTTTCACAGCTGCTCCTTGTTGGGGGAGTGATTATTCCGTCAGGTTACCGAATGCATCCGGAAACCAATAATAAAACGCCACGTCATTAAAGTGCTCGGTACAGCGTCCTCGGTACACTCCGTATGCTCGGTATTGCTCGGTATTTTCACCGGATGTAATAAAAATTCTTGTTGGGGGGATCAAACTGAATTTTTCACTTGGGGGATCAAACTGAATTTGTCAATTTTTCCTCATAGCTTTGATCAAAATGGTACAGTTTTTTTTTTTTTTTTTCCTTTTTTTTTTTTCATTCTTGACTTGATTTTTGAACTTTGCTTAGTGGGTTGAAGCCTAGATATTATTTAGTTTAAATTGGATTTATTTGTTTGTACGTAATTTGTTCAATTTTTTTCAATTTTTGGATTTGCAAAGATTAATCGGGCTGAGGGTATGTTGTACTGATACTGCATCATTTTCTTTACATTTGAATTTTATGATTTTTTATTTTTGAGATATTATTTTATGTGTTTATTGATGACTGTATTTTAAAAATATCAGAATTAATGAATATAATGTTTATTTTCTCTTAGCAAATTCTTAACAATTAAATTAATGAATAAATGTTAATTTTCTTCTTGATTCTATAAATTTTCTTTGTTACCCTCGTGGCAATAAAATTACCATTGTTTTTCTATTGTAAAGTGTATTTATTAAATTAACAAGAAACATTTAAATGCCACTTTTGGCCGCTATAGCAAAAATTTAATAAGTGAAATTAGCAACCAAAAGTATTAAATAGCTACAAATAAATACTCAATAGCATAAGAAAATGGTCACCAATATGAACAATTTTAGCGAGCTATTTTAATAAGTAGTCACTAATTTAGCAACCGCAAAAATGCGTAGTCACTAAAAGCCTCAGCGGTGAGACTACTGCGACGAACTAGCGACCCCATATTTTTCGGTCACTATTTGCTTTAGCATACAATATTTTTAGCTGCCATTTTTCTTGGCCGAGCAATGACCTATTTTATAATAGTGATAGTTAATACCAAGTAAATACTTCATTAAAAAAAAAAAAAAAACTCATAGAAATTGAAAATTCTTGAAAATTAATTTAGAAAATGTAATACAAAGTTAATAGACACAACATTAATACATTATCAATATACAGTTAATATCAAGTCAATGCAAATTAATATAAATTCAAAAAAGAGGTAAAATAAGCAAAAAATAACTTATAGACATTTAAAATATATGCAACCTAATTTAGAAAATAAAATACAAAATCGATACAAAGTCAATACATAGTCGATACATATAGTCGATACATTGTCGATACATAATCAACATAAAGACAATACGGAGTTAATGCACAGTTAATATATACCAATTCAATATATAGTTAATACAAGTTAAAAAAGGAGACCAAAATGAATAAAAAACTAACATATATTTGAATCTTGTTCAACGTAATTTAGAAAATGAAAAATAATTTCGATGCAGATTCAATACACTATCAATACAAAGTTGATGCACAATCAACAATGTTAATATATATTTAATACACATTTAATACAAAGTCAATGCACAGTAACTAGTACAAGTTCAAAAAAGATCATAAAAATGAACAAAAATAACTCATATACAATATATGAAATATGTGCAACCTAATTTAAAAAAAGAAATACAAAGTCAATATAGAGTCAATACACATTCAACACACACTCAATATACAATTAATACATACTCTACAATCTCATATGTTTAAAAGTTTACATGAAAGTTTACATTCACTAGTTTGCAGTATTGTGAGCATTCAATCGTGTACGTCAAACCGACTGCCCTTTTTGCTTTCTTTAACAGTGCGACGAATGGGCTTCTATTTATTAAACAAGGTGGGCCATGACACTTCTATTTGTTAAACATGATGGGTCACGAGTACAACAAAAAGCGACAAACAAATATGCTAAACCATAAAAAACATAAACGTAGACCCTAAAATCTATTTTGAAATAAACACAAAAAAGTATTTACTTGAAGATGAACTAAATGAGAATGAGGGAATAACCTTGATAGAACTTAATGAGCTAACAGAGCGTCTGAATGCTAATGAACCGTGAATTGTCTGCAATGCCGAAGATGAAAAGTGAACAGTGAACCCACTCCAATGTCAAATATGAAAAGCGAATTGGCTCCTCAACTTTTAATTTGCCGCAAATTCAAAATTTTCACTTCTGAACCGGTCAGGTCGGTGGGCTCGCAAGATAAAAATATAATAATAAGAAATCTTTATTAAATATCACACCTCTAGGTCGGGTCAGTCGGTCTGTCAAGAGCAAGATAAAATATGAAATGGACATGTCCAATCCATATGTCATGATTTCATTAGAGTTCGGACATAGAGCTATATTCGCGCATTCCTGACGTAATAATTTCTTCAGTGACTGTGATGCCGTTCAAGGAGCAATCCTTATATTATTACTCATAAATAGTTTCTTAGATATTGTAGATATGTGGTTCACATTAAAATTAGTATTCAATTTGTTTTAGTTGTTTTCTTTTCTTAGTATAAATATAAATAGAGTGGAGACCGATTTTGCAAGCGTGGCGTAATACAAAATGAGAGCAAAATGAGAATGGTGCTGCTGTTTCTTTAAAGCAGGAAGGGCTAGCTCCTTCCTTCATCTCATTTTTTCTTCTTGAATATCCAGTGAGCCAGGATTTTGTGTTGATCATTCTCAAAGCTATTTTCTTTTGTTTTTCTTTGTAAGAGGCTGGGATCCAATTCTCTGTAACAAGTTTGTAGAAATCCCTGAAGCAGTTCTTGACGTTGGCTAAGAGAAGTGGTTAAAGGACTGAGTTGCAGAAAGCAATTTGCCAATTTTCTTCCACAGATATATATTTTATATCTTCTATTGTGTTATTTCAAATAGGTTGTCGAAAGCGCTAACAATATAATGTCAAAAGTTGCGAAATGATTATTAGCTTTTTAGTTTATTCTTTTGTTAAGAAGGGAGACAAAGTAGGCAAATGTTAGGCAATAAATAAGTGAATTGAAGGGTTCCAGTTTCCACACATCTCTTCCAAATTGTTGAAAGTGAAGTGAGTTTAGATGATTTTAAAATCCACTTTTCAATTTTTTGATAATAATATTTATATGCTTTGAGATTTGAACGTTACGTCAAACACTCATAATCTTCCTCTTCTTCAATATAGATCTCCAGTTTGTTTAGCATCGGATACAGGGGCGGATCCAGCTTCTTTTTTCAGGGTGGGCAAAAAAATTTTTTTTTGGTGGGGGATGGGCAAAGATGCTTAGGATTGATTAAATGAGGGCAAAAAATTTTTTTGAGAGGGGGCAAAATACCCAAAATAGCTAAAATATTTCAAAATATCTCACTAAAATTAAAAAAAAAATTTTTTGAGGGGGGGCATTTGCCCCCCATCAACTAAATGGGGATCCGCCCATGATCGGGTATCAATCGAGCTGTATGGTTGACTCAAATCTTAATTCTGTCGATCCAGCTTGACATCGAGCTTGTTGGGGGATGCTGGGACAGTATTAAATAAATATATTTTATTTTTGATAAGATATCAGCTTCTTATTTGATTTATCACTTGTCGTCTTTTACACATGCAATCGATAAATACAAGAATATATAACGGCTTCGTTTGGGACGCCTTACTTATTATTTTTTTAAGTAGTAGGAGCTTTCTAGTACTAAAAAATTATTTTAAAAAAACATAAAAAAATAGTCTCAAACGAAGCCTTAGTCACATGCAACACTTCAATTTAAATTTCTTCAACACAAATAAAATCAATTGAATCTTCCTACTATTCAATCAAAATTATTTTGATAAATTGTATTTTTGGACAATTAGATCCATAAATTTACATTAATTTCAATAATATTGATACTTCAATATATTCTCATTACTTTTATTAAAAAAAATTATATTAATGTAAACTAAATAAAAAAATATCAAAAATCATTTAGTAATGTTTTTTTTTTGAGCCACCACAGCTCTTTCATTGTTGGAGGGCCACTAAATTTTTTATGAAAAGTCACTTAAAAATTTTTTTCTTAGTAGGGAACTCCGGCTCTTAGGTTTATTTTTGCTTTTGTTTGTAGCTCGTTTGAGCAGTAGAGAGCTAGAGGACTCTTTAAGGATTTTGTAATTTTTCCCTTATATTAACATGTAGGCCCGTCGGTGGGTTTTAACTAAAAAATAAATAAATTGTTGGAGGGCCAATAGGGAAAATCCTCAATACTTATTCCTGGTGAAGAGTGTAGCAGTGATCATCTTTATCAGATGTGTGCTTTAATTTTATTCTTTTATGAATCACTATCGCGCGTCTAAACCCTAAACCTAAACCCCATTTTCAATAACTTATTGTCAAAGAAGAAAATTCTTCTTTGGGATTTGGACATAATTTTGTTGCTGGTGTTTGCTTGGTTGTTTTGGCTTATTTCTTTGACGTGTTGCGGTTGATGGTCCTTTCTGACCGAATGTGGCTGGTTAGTATTGTTGGTTACCTTGTGGATTATTGACATGGAAGTGAGTTGATATTTTTTTGTTTTCGGACAATGATGAGGCTGGCTTCTTGCTCGCCCCCTCGATGGCCATGACTTGTTGTGGCAACTTTGGTTTTTCTTCAATTACTTCTGTGTGGTTTTGAGTGTTTATTCATCTCACTAGTGGTTACTCTTCCTCCTATGGATGGTCCAAGCTAGGCAACCGGGTTTTTGAGTCCAACGCTTTGGATTTATATCAGTTCCATTTTACTCTGCATTTTTATCATTTAATGTGGTATTTTCATCTTTGTTTTGTTTTTCTTTGACTTTTTGGCCATTTGGTTGTATGTCTCGTCTGTAGTTTTGGAACTAAATCTGATTTGTTTAAAAAAACTTATTGTCAAAAAAGAACAATTAGATGCAGAGGCAAATTCGATGAGCTTATGATCATTTAATTTTGATATTATTAAGACATTAAAGAGGGCTAAAAAAATTCTTTGCTTTCAAGGGCATCAACACGAATTTTCTAATAGATTTTTTTTATTTACGGTATATAAAAAAATATCATAAAGGTCATACTTTCATCACAACACACAAAGCAACAAAGACATAAAGATTGTAAGGCCCATAACAGAAATTCAATTGGAAATCCCATTAAAATCATCAAATTAGCTCAATTCAAAGCGAAATTGGAGCTCTTCTATCTGAATCTGATAATTCTGTGACTTTTCTTATTCATACATATATAGTAGCTGGCAAGTATCAAGTACTGTCTGCTCCGTCTATGGAACAGATTTCTCATTCGTATTATCCACCGCGAAAGTATCGATTCCCTTCATCCTACCAGTACCCGTTGACCACACCGCGGTGCCAAACACCACCGCGTTACCGTTGGGCTTGAGGACGAGAACAAACCGGTTGAAATTTCCCCCCGTCTCCGTCCTCCACAGCGGCGGCTGGGTGGCGTTCGAGGTAATGATGAGCAGTTCACCGTTCATTTGTAAATGAAGGAAGCACTTGGAGACCTTGCCGGCAGTGCGAGAATCCCAGACGGAGATCTTGTTATCGTACAAGACAAGGTTGCAATCATCTTGCATCAAAAGATTGTAGCTGCCAACGGAGAGTGATTTTCCGGAGGTGAGGGTGTCGCCGGCCATGAGGATATTGCTGCTGGCTTCGGAGTTGGAAGACGTGAAGAGGAGGAAGAAGGAGGCTGTGCAAAGGAGGATAGCGGATGCTGCTCGTGAGGTGAGAGGGTTAGCCATGATTGAAGGTTCAGATGGGTGATTTGGCTTGGAGATGTGTTAGGTGAGCGTTATGTGGATGGATTTTGGTTTTACTTATAGTGTATTGAAATGGCCGGCGGACTGCGATGGCCGCGTTGGCGTTCGTCGTTATCATCCGGATTTAAGTTCTTACATCGAGTAGCCGCTCGATTAATCAAATTTGGTTGGATTTTCATCAAACAAATGGCAGAAAATCAACTCGTGTTTCCAGAGCAATAGCTTTCTGTCAGGCCAGCCATTGGATTTTCAAAATTGTAGGCCTGATTTTGGAAGAGTATACATAAAATATGACTTCAAGCAAATTTTACTTTTATTATTATTATTATTATTATTATTGATATATCATAAAAAAATTTATCTTGGTCGGGCACGAATCTCAAGGCAAAATCAAGCTGGAAATTTCAAAAATTAAATCTGGGATCACTTGAACTCCGATTTCAGCAAATTTATAGTCAAACTGAGCATCTTGGAAATATGAATCCAACAACACCAAATTCGACTCAATCTGAGCCCAAATGAGTCCAAAGCAAAGACCCGAAGTGTTGTTGGAAAGTTCGAACCACAATTTGAGTTACTAAATGGTTTTGAAACATGACGTGCTTATAGTCGAATTGAGCGGCTCGACGAGACGAATCCAACGAGCCCAATATCGCCGAATTCCAACATAATTAAGACCATCAAATGTCTGACGAACGGTACACGATCAATGGATTCAATATCGATCGTCCATCGAACCACTCCACATTTGCCCTTGATCCTCCTCCTATTTACATGCCATGCCACTCCAGAATATCTATAAATATACCCCTCATTTCTCTTGAGAAGGGACTCAAGCAAGAAGAAGAAGAGAAGAAGGAGAAGAGAAGAGAAGAAGATTAGGAGGGAAGAAACTCCTCCTCGACCACCAATGCCAGAATTTTGCCCGACGCCCGAGTGACGCCGGAATTCTGTCCGAGTGACGTCAGAATTCTACCCTGACGCCCAAGTTACGACGGAACTCTGCCCGATTTTCAAGTGATGGGGGAATTCTAAATGACTCTGAATTCAGCTCGAATACGCAACTTGTTTGTAATCGGATTTCAATCCGGAAGTGAAACATTGTAATCTGATCATCCTAAATTTTAAGAACTAGTCAGCCTCTTGTACCTCAAACAAACACTAGTGAAATTATTTTAACTTGCGTGACCCCGTGGTTTTTTCCCTTTCCAGGGTATTCCACGTAAAAATCTTAGTGTTATTATACTCCTCTGTTTGTGTGCTAGATATCAGTACAATACTGAGACGGAAATTTTCTAACGTTATCGCCACGTATATTCTAGTTCGCAACAATTATTATGAAATTCTTGAAGAGGAAGATGTCTTCTTGGGTGAGAGAAAGGGTAGCGAAGAGAGGGAGAGAGATTTATAGGAAATTTCCTTTATTCTTTGGTGTATCTCTTACATCATCTTATGCATCATATTTATAGTAATTGGACACTCATGTAATTTAAAAGGGGATCAATCCTAACAATTAAGTTAATAATAATAATAATAATTACATCATAAAAATTGACTTTATCGGACATGAATCTCAATGAGATGAAGAATTCAATTTCACTGAAGCACTGTCATTAGATTAGGATCCTTTGACCACCATCGGTCCATTAAAGTTCTCTGACCTCAATTACCTTATTATGATCCTCCAACAACTATCACACTACTACAATCTTTTGACCATCATTATTCGGCTACATTACTTTAATTATCATTGCCCAAATCACAGTCTTCAGCCTACCATTACCCAACTTAAAATCCTCTGATCACCTTCGCCCGCCAACCATTCTCTAACTATTGTTGCACACTTATGTTCTCTCGACATCCCTTAATTGTCAATGTCAACCCCACGATTGAGAGTATGACCAAACAAACTAACAAATATTTTTTTGCTATTATTTTCTTGTTGCCTTCAATAAATTTTCATACTAAGCAATTATTATTTACAGTAGCTTTCAAAAAAATAATTTTTCTCATAATAATTTTACAAAAAAAATTGCAACCGTTTCAAACAAAAGCTTAAGCTTCGTTTGGGACAAAGAGTTAGAATGATGTCACAAATGAAGGCTTCGTTTGAGACGGTTTTCTTACTAATTCTTAAAGCATCTTTTTTAGTATAAAATTTTAATTTTTATATTAGAAAACAGTAAAAAAGCTGTCCCAAATGAAGCGAGACCTAATTACGGATGAGGAAAAAAAAAGATACAGCTGTGGAAATATCAATAAAAAAAAATCTCATAGGTGAAAGCTGTTAATTTCTGTCGTCATTAGCTTTCCTAATTAACGTCATTAGCGCTGCATCAAACAACTAAAGAAGTAGCATCAACCCACTCAGATTAGGATTGGCAGTTTACAGGATCAATTGTAAATAATGGTTATAATATTATTTGCTAGCTGTTTTTAAAGCTTTTAAGAAAATATTAAAGAATGAGAGCAGCTCCCGAAAAGAAAAAAGTTTAGAGGAAACAGTATGAACCAGGGTTGCAAACTCCAGGTAATCAACAAGATGGAAATGCTGAAGTGGAAATAAAACTTAGTTGTCATTGAATTTGCTCTAATGAGATTAGTACAACTCTCAGATATCATATTTGGCATAAATGTCAGTATGTATTTGAGGGTTGTTAAATTCTTCCTAACGTCAAAATATTATGACACGAATTATTTCTTTCTGAATTTTGTCGCATGTATATATATATAATACATAAATATGATGCTATGAGTTTGCACTTGCTAGCTTGGTTTATTTATGTTTTCTTTTTATATTCACTTAATATTTTTTGCTAAAAATATAATTTATTTATTTTAAAAATCAAAGCTAAGATGGTATTTCCAAAGGGAGTGAGTGAGGATATGGGTGTAACATAGTCAAGTTGACTTGTAAGTTAGCTCGGACTCAATTCGGTAACAGGCTCGCTGAGTCAAGCTGATCGAGCTCGCGAGTCAAACTCGAGCACGATTTCGAGATCGATGGCTTATCGAGCTCGAGCTTGAACAAACCTATGCTCGACTCGTCGGCTTGGCAAGCAGCTGGACGGTGGAACTAGGGGCCGGGCGGGAAAAAAATGTTTTGGGCAGGCGAGATGGGCTGACAAGAGGACGACTCGGAGGTCAGAAATGATAATGACGGAGTTTTCTCGACTAAGAAACTAGGGATGACGATGAAGATGGCGTTTGCATGTTGCTTGACCACGGAACTCATACAACCTTGCTCGACGACGTAGCTAGGAATGACAGAGGTTGGAGGCTCGGAGCCCACGTGCTTCGACGGAAATTGACGGGATGACGAATGACGAAGCTCGGGACGATGGAGATTTAAGGTTCGGAGGAGCTCGCATGCTTCAACATTGCTCGACAGGAACATGGAGCTCACGCCTTGGGACGACAAGCTCACGGCTTTGACGAAGCTTGATGGGACGACGATTAACGGAGCTTGATGGTCGACGGAGCTCGGGTCGACATAGCTCTGGATGACGCTTGATGACAGAGATTGGGAAGGAGCTCGACGAGCCGCTCGACACGACTCGTTTTGTGAGACAAGTCGAGCTCAAGCTCATCATTTGAGCTCGACTCGAGCTTGGTATTTGTCATTCAAACTCGACTCAAATACCCACTGGCTCAAGCTCGACTCGACTCGTTTGCACCCCTATGTAAAGTTGCCTAGCCAAAAAATAATTGGAGTAAGGTCTTTCTTTCTAACGATAAAGACTTTTTTTTCTATTTTTGTAATGAAAGATAAACTTTATTTCATCAAAAAAGAGGCTATTGCTCAAAGAGATATAATTAAAAGATATTTAAAAAAAAACTAAAGATTAAAGGATTCATTATCTAAAGATGCAATATTGGAACAACAAAAAGAACAATAGGCAAGAAGCCAATGCCCAAAAATCACGAAGGATCAATTCCTCGGGTTAGAAAGATCAATAAAAAGTGGTTGCCACAAGAAAATGAAAGCTCCTACAAAATTAAGATAAGATACCAAAATAAACACTTACCCTAACCATCAAACTGAAGAAGGCCAAAAAGATTTCACTATCATAGTCTATATGAAAAGATGATCGACGAAGAATCCTTCCAGCAGTCCATCAATATAGCGAGGAGAGCAGTCCTTAACTGGTGCAAGCGGCAAAACTCTCACAAACATCAAAAGAGAGGGGGTATTTTTTTTTTTAGAAAGGGGTTAGTAAATCTCATGACACAGAATTTAGGAAGGATATGAAATCCAATAGATATTCATATTAGAAGGAAAAAAAAAAATAACAACAATCCATAGGAGCTAATCTCCATTTGAAAACACGAGATGTTCTTCAAACAAAACTACATGTAGGGGTGTCAATTTCGGGTCACGGGTCAGGATCGGATCGAACCCGGAAATGATCGGGGTTCAGACGAGTCGACCCTAACTCAAACCGGGTAGGTAAATGTGTTGGATATCCGAACCCAGACCCGACCCGGCGGGTTGATCCGACCCGACAGAGGTTGACCCGACACGAGTGGCCGCACTGGCGAGTGCAAGCAGGGGGGGCCTTGAGAAGAAAAGGATAGCCCAACAATAGCAGAGCAATACCGCAACAACATAAGTAGTAAATCACCATAAGAAATGACCGTAGAAATACAAATCACATAGTCCCATTTTAGTAATAATATATCATCCACATGAGAAATTCACCAAACAAAACAATATGACCCAACTCCATTTAAGAGCTAGAAATAAAATCAAAACTAATTAGATTAAGGCAGATATAAAAATAGGAAAGCCCAAAATAAAATAAATTAGATCAAACCCACCAACATCAAACCCAAACACCATATAGTGACCTAATAAAAAGAAAGCATAATAAAGGTTAGCTTTAGGAGACATAAAAGTAACCAACAATTTAGAATAAGATTCAATCCAAATATTAGATATCTGATTAGCTGAACATATTTGAAGCCCTTAATATAAAACA